AATGAGTAATCGGTCTGGGGAGCAGGATCCTGAAGCAGGAATTCTCCTGCCTACCTGAGCATCTTATTCTACCCATCCTCAGAGAGTCAGGCATGCTCTTGTGTATTCCCAGCATGATCCTGTGGATCCACATTCCTTTCTATATAGAGAGTTCAAGATCTTGCTTGAAGGTACTTGAACAGTTAATGAAAAGTCAGAGCTCATTTAAAGCAATTTGTCCCACAAGCAGGGGAGCTAAAGAAGCATTTCAGGGAAATTGTATGTGTTCCTCTGTTCTCTCACATCAGCAGTCCCCGTCCTTAGCTGAAATCTCAGATTCTGAGCCTGTGTGACATGGCCAGCTGATGATTTTCATAAAATTCTGATTTTTCATGAAACTTGTGCAACTTTGGTATCTGTAGGAGCCTTGACATCTGCCACGTTTGATTGAAACTGCCCGTTAAGTTCAACTAGGGGTGTGGAAGGGAGCTGAGAAGCAGATGGACAGAAACGGGGACGCAGTCACAGAATCCTGTTTCTCTAGGGAACTGCACACAAATACGTGCCTAGTTTTGCATTAGAAGTAGCAGATTTTTTTCTTTTCCTTCCATGTAAGGTGCTGGCTAATGCCCAAATCTGTGCTTTCAAGGCCAAGAGCTCACGATGCAACACCGTAAAATTTGCTGTGTTAGTTTCTGCATTTGAGAAAATGTATTTAATTCTCTGAATTGCACACGAGAAGCATGCAGTAACCCAGGAAGGTGGGATCTGTTAAGTAGCACAGTGACAGAAGCTCAGAGCTAACTCCACCAACTTTTTATTATTTGCTTTAATGTTAGTATATCATAACAGCAAAGAAGGTGTGTAACTACCTTGTTAGCGACTTCCAGTCAATGAAAGCCAAGTGTCCTGCAGGTATGTTTGTTTTATAAATTATGCCACAACTGTGTTTTAGTAAATAATCGAAGATATTTTTTTGCAAGTCCAAGCAGCTAGTTTGCAATGCTTCAGCAGAACTTGTTAGCATCACACAGTACTATAGTAGTAGTTGCAGAGCGACAAACAGTTATGGTCTTTGAAGAGTAGCAAGAAAGGGAAATATTATGGAGCACAGGGCAGAGGGGAACTGTATAATCTAACTATGATATATGCTTATTCAGTGCTGTGCATATGGAGGAGGCAGGAGTCCTGCGTGGCGGACCAGGAGGGCCTGATCAGCAGTGGCCAACGGTTTCCAGTGCTACTCCAGGTAAGGGTGTGAAAATCTAGAATACATGGGAGGAGCTAATGTTAACTGAAATAGACTTCCTAATGCTTCCATTTTCAGTTGTTTTTCTTCTGTTTTGTGTCTCTGGGTGAAGTTCTTGTAAATTAATCTGTGGAATCTAATTAAAGTGGAATAATAAAGCGTAAAATAGATTGTGGATGGTGTCCCTGCCCATGGCAGGGGGGTAGGAACTGGATGATCTTTAAGGCCCATTCCAACCCCAACCATTCTGTGATTCTATGATTTTTTTTCTTTACTTGGTCTCAGATGAGCACTGAAGATAAGAGTCCTTGATCCCAGCTTTCACCCTGCCTTCGGAGGTTATTGGTTTGTGTAACAGAGTAGTGGAAGGGCTTCAGTTCTGATGTGTGTATTCAGATTCAAAATGCTTGTGTCTAGGGCTGGTTTGCCCTGCGTTTCAAAAGAACAGTAAAACTGGGGTAGGAACTTATCAGTTCTCCCTTTGTTATTTTTACAAACCCAGTAAGTCTCTTTGAATGTCTTTTCTCATTTTCTGTGGTGAAATCGGACCTAATTTTTTGCTAGCTATATTCATTCACATTCGCCCCCCTTCTCTTTGTCTAGTGAAGCTATAGCCCTCTATGTAGTACTGAATTTGGAAATTGAAACTAAACTATTATTTGCTTGTCAAAATAAATTACCAAAACCATATTTTAGAATGTAGCTTTACTTACTCAGTAACTGACTGATGACTTCACAGCAGTCAGTAAGAATTGACAGAAGGTCCTCACTGAGTTAAGACAAAAAAAAAAAACCACTTGCATCTTTTGCAGTGCAGGCAATAAAATATTCTCACTTTTTATGTTGGAGCAGGAATAAGAGAGAGATGTAGTGGAACAGCCAGTCACTGGTGTGATCAGCAATTTTAGTCATGTCCAAACTTAGCCGTCAACTTAGGATGCCCTGTGTAGGGTTGTGAGCCCTGTATGACAGCTCTGCGAGCACTGTCAGTCCTCCAGAAATTTAAATGAGGAGTAATGCTCATATCACAGAGGCAGGTCAAAGGCTGAGAAGTGGGGTCTCCAGCAGAAAAGATGAGAAAGCTGCTTTATTTAATACTTTTTCTACAAAACTTTCCTTTGGCTTAAATGGGAATTTTACCTGGATAAGGGGCTGAGGAGCAACTTCAGGATTTGCAATCGCAGTTACAACACATCCGTGAATTAACAGTGCCCAGCAAGATCTGCATTGGTGTTGTAGAATGGCTGTCTGCAGAAACAGATTTGGAAACTAACATAATACATAGTGGGCCCCTAGGCTATAATTACCTGGTTTTCGTGTGCTCTTCCTTCTGTTGCAGGCTTTGCAGGAAGACGCAGCTTGTGCATGTTGTGAAGGGTGCGTAACTGTTGAGCTTGCATTTGAAAATGTCACCACAAGTACACTCTAACCTTTACAAGGGGTTCCTTCAGGCTTTCAGCTGCACTAATCATCCTTGACTGAGCGCTTACTGTATTACCTTACACCAAGTTCAGTGTGGTTGCAAATACCCACCTAGATGTTTGCTTGCTGGTAATGCAGTTTTCTAAGTACGTGAATGTAAATGGCAAGGTAGGAATGTCCTGTCTTCTGAGAAGGTCTGTTGGCACTTGGGTCCCAGAGCCCTGTTCTACGATGTGGACTCCTCCCTGATATTCTTTTTGTGTCTTGTAATTTTAGACTCATTTTGGGAACTTGAACATCTCTTTGTTTGAGGAGCAGCACTAGCCCTTGGCTCTTATTGCTCTTTCCTTCCATGACCATGCGATGAGGCACTTGTGCAGTGAATGCACCCCTGTCACCCACGCTGCTCTGCATGTTTGTGGCTACGTAGGGTAGAGAAAACTGTAAGGCATAGTGAGAGAAGAAGCTGGCAGGAGGCCCTGTGGAGCTGGCCAGCTGCAGAGTCCACGGGCCAAGTCTGTTTACTCTGCCCCTTGGACTGAGCGGTGTAAATCACTGTTTCTCTGTGGTTTTTATTTCTAGATAATGTGTTCAAACAGGTTGTAAGAAAATAGCTTCAGCAACAGAAAACTTTTCTACCATACAGGAAACTGTGACTAATTAAAATTGCATTATGGAATATCCGTGCTAGTTACAGCTACCTTTAAATCCGATTTTTGTAAAACAGGATCCTTGTAAATTTTTTTTTCCCTGCACAATGAAGATTCATTTGTTTTGTCTTTGTCCACTCCCAAGGGATTAGTGACCCGGACATAACATTGATTAACCCTTTTTTAGTGCATTTCACATAATATTCTTCTCCACTCTTTGTAAGCAAAAGCTACAGATGTCCCTGGTCCTTAATAGCAAACAGGCAATTCATAGGGAACTCTGTTAGGATTAACAATTGTGTTAATTTTCATACCTTAGGCACGACATCATGCATCCCATTTTCAGCAATGTACTACCACTGGTTTAGGATCTTATCTGCAGTTTCCCACGAATATCTCTTTCAATGCTTCTTTCTCTTTCTGGATTAGGTTCAAGACCTGTAATATTTTTCGTCAGGTTAACATACACAGCTGATGCTTTTCAGAAGAGATTCAACTCATTATGGTCACATGCAGTCGATTGAGTCCACAAATGTACTTGCTCCTGACATATCATTTGCATTTGAATGGAGTGCACCTGGGTCCAGATAAACTCCTAGATAAGATATTTGTTATCTCTGTTACCATCAGCATACTGTGGCAGCCATAGGTCTCAGCTTCTGATTACTAGAAACCACTTCGAAGCCTGATCTGTGCACGCATTCTCCATGCAGTTCTTTTAGTCAATTGATTAATCCCAATTGATTTGTCACTAAACCATTCGTTTAATTTAACAATCCACAAAAGCCATGGATAAGATGCCTCTCAGAGACAGATTCAGAGAGCTAATCAATGAGAGCATTCAAAGGTGATGTCATAGGAACACTTTAAGAAGGATGAACAAGTCAAGTGTTAAATGAGTAAATCCTTAATTCCTAATGCGTAGCTGTACTCAAACATCACACGATGTTTCAGCAAATATGTGTTGCCCAAGAGAACTTGGTCCTCATTTGATGGACAGCACTTCTACTGACTTTATCATGTATTTCACCCATGCAGGGGACAGTGAATCTTGATCTGGCATTTTTAAATTGTCTTCGTGTTTTCTTATAAACCAATAGTTTGTAGGTTTGTAGTCAGGATGCTCCCAAGTGAGGTGGGACAAGAAGGCTCAAACTCCCTCTGTGTAGAGGATAGCATTGGGTTTAGCTTCCTGCGTCATCTCATTTGTCCTCCACATGCTATATAGTGAGTCTAGGAAATGCAGGTTTCTGCTCTATGTCTTTGACAGTTTGGGCAATTATATCAGAGTTTCTATAGGTGACCACTAATCTGAGTGAACTTTATTTTCTGGATGCCTAACTTGGAATAACTGGAGCTTGATTTGCAGAAATGGTGGGAGCTTGTAGTAGAAACAAAGATGAACAGAAATGTTGCTCTAAACATACAACACTGAAGATTTCTGAATAAATCAGACCTGTGCATAGTTCAGAGCTTAGAACTACTGGGCATTTGACATATCTGTGTGTATTTCTCTGTGCCCCTGGTTCCAATCTGCAAAACAGAACTGGTGATGCAAGTGCTTCGCAACAAGTCTAAGGATGCTTTCATAGCACATGTAAGACTTGGGAGAATGATAAGGTTTTGTAACGAAAAACAGAGGAATTTTAAATCCTGTGTCCAATGTGGGCTTTATATGTGTGCAGTAAATAAGGGACTGGGCCACACACCACATATATAGAGGGGAAAAAAGATACTTCCATTCAGACAGCTCTGTAAACAAAAGAGAAAGGACCTCATGAAAAAATCTGCATCTGGAATTTGTAAGTGTGTAGGTGAAGACCATGGGTGAAACACTGACATCTCTGAATTCCATGGCAAATAGCCCACAGACTTCATGGAAGCTAGGATTTTGGTGTCTAGCCTTACAAAAATGTACAAGGGACTGAATTAAGGTTGCTTAGGGAAATGCCATCCTAAAATATGCTAGTTTTATGTTTTGTGGTGGTAACCTTCTTCTAAGTATATCTGTCATTTTTGTTTCCTTTTCCCGAGTAATTGGCTGGGGAAGAGAGGTGGTAGCCTTGTGTTTTAAAGCACTCTTATGAAAAAAGCAATTATATTGTGTGAGAATCTGCTGACCTCAAGTCCTTCATGCTTGACACTCACGGTGCATATGTTTATCCCTTGAACTGGCCAAGTAAACAGCAGTAGTAATATTGGCTGCTATTCCTTACAGGACATCAGCAGGAGAGACGGGTTAGCTGTGAATTTCATAGCTACTTGAAAAGGCAAGGGAATATTATAACCAAGAAACCCAGAGATCAGCTTTAGGTCTGAAGAGGACTGTATGTGCTGTGCTATATATGTATGTAAATATATATATTTTATATATATATATATGTTTGTATATATATGTAATCTTAATGCAAAATTTATAGCTCCTTGTGTCTCATCACCCAAAGCCTGACTCTTTCAACGTTTGTCCTTTGAAGTTTGTCTATCACAGCTTTCCTCTTTTTATTTAGTTTTCCCTGCAGTTCCTTACCTCCTGCCTAACCGTGATTTTTCTACACATGCTCTGCAGGCTAGGGATATTCCATGCCCATATAGCCTCAAACTGTCCTGAAAGATTATAGAGACTTTTAGGTTTTATGCTGGGATCTACAGCTGGTCTGGAATAGATTTCTCGCTCTCGGAGGACAGCTCGTGCTGCAATCAGCTGGAATGCAGAAGAGGTCCATTGACAGGGCATGGGCTGTAGAACAGGTGATGAGTACTGAAAATTAAATGAGAAGCAACTATAAATATGGCAAATAAACAAAGTTATCTGAAAGGTAAAGTCAGTTTTCCTAGTAAGTTCTGCACTGCTGGTTTGGGGTAGAGTGTTGTGAGTGGAATGACTGTGGGAAAGCTGTGAAGAAAAGGAAAGGGGATGCTTGCATGGAT